GCTTCAGCCATTCCATACTGCAGATTTAGTTTGGCATTCAGAGAATACTAAACTGCTAAAGCCCAACTTCATCTAACCTTTCTGTTAAGCTTTGGATAGGGTGGTGAAGACTTTAAGTGCAATTTACAAAGGGAATACATGATAAAAATATAGGCACGTATTTTACATTACTATTTAGCTGTTTACCTTGAGCTATACTTGAATGTAACAACAGCTTAACTCAAAAGGAAACATGCAATGAAAGAGATGTGGAGGATGTGATTGATGAATTCATACTAAATGACTGGCTGTCTCTGCCTTTAATGCAATCTGAGCCCTGAATATTGAAGAAAATGAAAGTGAACATCTAATTGAAATACTTCCTGGTCTGTACCTCAGAAAACATTGAAGCTGTTGGATTAGCCTGACAGCCAGGCACCATTTTTTTTTTGAAAGAAGAGACCAACCATAACGGCATTCATATTTCTCTGTCTACAGGTTTCTATGGTATAGGATGGAAATCATATGGTTAGCAGAAAATGGTCAACAGTAGTATCAAAATATATAAAATACTGTATATGTGATTAGTAATGCATTCATTTATACATCAATAGGTACTTTTTTTGTTTGTGTTTCTATAAACACTGCTTTAAAGGAAACCGCTCACAAAATAAATATATAGACTACTATCGAGATCTGAAAAATTCTAGTTGCCTGGCTCTTTTACTACTCCTCTAATTTCAGTATGCAGCAATTTAACTGCATAATTGTTCCAGCTCAGTGATACAGAAAATACTAAAGCCATTGGCCTAGCATGGCAAGCAGGCAAATAGCATTTACAAATAAAGGTCAGCGTTGGAAACTGAACTACTCCTCTTATGGCAAGACTCTATTCCTTTTTTTTTTTCAAGTAAAAAAATATATTGCCATTTGGTTTTGTATGGCCTATCTTTATCTTAAATAAACATGCAAAATCTTACCTCAATCTCTCACCAAGCTGCAAATGTTATGATGAGTTTAAACATGTTTCTTTTTGAGTTTTACATGCATAATGTGGATTATGAAAGTATGAAATATTTGAAAACATTAAAGACGTTTATAAAAGGTAAAAATGAAATATGCTGAGATAAACTAATAAACTTTAAATGTTATTACTTTCTTTGTCCTTTGGGATGAGATTATTCAGGTCATAATTTAGTTTACTTTATGAGTTTACTGCTTTTTCTTTGTTTAATTTACTATTCACATTTCCAAGCAATGCCTCACCTGTAGTATTTGTAGGGGTGGATTTACTGAAGGCAAATAGGCTGTTTACTTTGCAAGGGAATTTGCACTTTTCAGCGGATGTTTCTCCTTATCTTAGTGAATGAGGTGAAGCTCTGTTGACTTCTATCATCCAGTCATGTGTGCAAGCAAAAATACCTTTTTTTCTTCCTTGCATATGATTGGGTATTCTTTGCAAAGTTAAGGTGCCCATACACTGTTCGAATGTTGGCCGACTTTTAATGTACTGGCCGAAATTCGCACAGTGTTTGGGCCTGTCAGCTCCCTTTCAGCCGGCATTCCTTGATCAGCTGATCAAAGGAGCCAGCTGGAAACATTTCTATCGATCAAAGCCAGCAGCCAATGAGGTGCCCGCTCTGACCGGGTATTCTGACAGGTGCCGGAGGCACCTTTTAGAATACAAAGGAAACAGCAGGCTTCCTCAATAGACACGCTGTTTGTGTTGATGGAGAGATCAGGTTAATTTTTTTCTTTCAGCCAATGGGTTGAATGAAAAAAATTGATAGATGTATGGCCAGCCTAAGTCAGCAAAGCTTCACCTCATTCACCAAGCTAAGGGAAACTTCCCCTGTAAAGTGCAAATTCCCTTGCAAAGTGAACAGGTGTCTGTAGTAAATCCACCCCATAGAGTGCATAATTACAAACAGCAAACCAACTGTTCCACAGCACAGAGTTATGGAAATCAGAGTAAAGGTACCCCTGGACGCTAGATACTATTATACGCCATCTAGCTAAAAGTATGTGGACATGCCTCCAAATTATTGAGATCTGGTGCTTCCAGTGAAGGGTGCTACAGCATAAAGTACAAAGACATTTTAGGCAATTTTGCACTTCTATCCTTGTGGAAACAGTTTAGGGAAAGCCCTTTTCTCTTTCAGTATGACTGTAACCCTGTGCTCCATAGAGATGATTTGATGAGTTTGGTGTAGAGGAACTGGAGTGACCTGCACAAAGCTATGACTTTAGTGGTAATGAACACCTTCAAGATGTATTGGAATGCTGACTGCGAACCAGGTCTTCATATCCAACATGAGTACCTCACCTCACAAATCTCATTTGGCTGAATGGGCCCAACTTCCGACAGACACACTCCAAAATCTTGTGTAAAGCTTTCCTAGAAGAGTGGCCCACTCCATATTAATGCCCAGGAGTTTGTAATGGGATGTCCAACAAGCGCATATGGTTGTGATGGTCAGATGTCCACAAACCTTTCACATTATAGTGAACGATATTAGCTATTTCAATCTAGATGGACAGCACTTATAATAAGCTTCATTTACTTTATAAGGTATACGTGCTTGCAACATATAACCTGAGGACATCAGAGGTAAGGGATACCAATATACTTTTTTTGGTTGTCGGTCTGTACTTGATTTCCCCACACCAAATATTCAGCAATGATGAATATTATATTTTTTTTACATAAAGATGGCCACTAGAAAGAAAATACAGCACAGTATGCAAGACTGTGTATATTGTGTACACCTATTTTCAGGTGTATTCTGAATAAACAATCACAAAAATACGTTCTGTTTAAAAAATCAATTGATTCAAAACAGCTGACCTTATTTACCATCCTATAAAGCCACAACTTATAATAGATACACAAGCCATTTTGTAATTCTATACTAATGAAAAAATAAGTTTTTAAAATCTGCAGCCAGACTAATTTTCTGCAATGGCAAAAATTCAAACAATGGGGGGCAATGGGGCTCTATGTACCCACTTTACCACCACCTAGAGATCTAGATTTCTGCTTGTGTGATTGGCTCAAAGCTTTTCTACTTTTTTTTACTACACTGAACCTTCATTTTGGTGAAGTACTTGTTGAAGGGCTGCACATCTTGGGGGGATTCTGATATTATTATTATTATTATTATTATACCGGATTTACGGTATATAGCACCAACGGTTTGCACAGCGCTTTACAAAATAATATTCAAGTTCTTTTTACAACTGATCTGATTGTGTGATTATAACAAGCAGCCTCTCTCATTTGGCCATGTGTCTGAGAATGTTGGAGGGACCTAATATCATCGCTTGCTGCATTTTTGCTAAAATTCCTGTAAATCATATAAAGTGGAGTTTATTATTACCTTATGTAAAAAAAACTATTATGTGTTTAATCAGATTTCAAAAGAAAATGACAGTTAGAGAAAAACAATTGAATCCAACTGTGAGATGAAGGCCAACAGACCTGATCCTACTTGAAGAATAAGTAACTGCTGTTTTTTTGCTTATCATAACTGGCAAAACCATGTTCAGCAGCTTTCAGTCCTAAAATAATCATTTTTTATGGAACTTCCCAGGAAACAGTAGTATCTGGCAGCTGGAGAATGCATATCAAAAATAAATCCTGCGGAGATTTTCAATAGGGGCATGCATGCACATCTAAAAGGATGCCATGGTTGCCTTTATTGTTATATTTGTTTTGTATACACAGCGCTGTGTTTGACATGTCTGCACACAGTATTATCAGTAATCAGCCAGCAAAAACTGAAATAGCAGCTGCAATGGGGATCCCAGTAGAGCTCTTAGGGTATAGCTGTAGCAAGGCCAAATGTTATATTTTCAGATTTGCTTTAAAAATGTGGCTGTATTTAAGGCATCTACGGTAAGGTAAACTGCACTTATTTTTTTAAGACAAATGAGGTCAGCTTTGCAATAAAATATATCTTTAAATTCTATCTCCGAATGAGAAAAAATATATTTCCCCCTGCAGTGGGGTGTTTTCGGCACTGCTTGTTTTTTCTCTAGTGAAACTCTGTAAAGCAGTTTTACTAACTTTATCCCGCTTCAGCTGGCTCCTAGACTGGCACCCTTAGCCTCTTCCCCCCTATGCCCGTGGGGTCAGAGGCCCACTGACGTCATCATGGCGGGTCCATAGCCCTTCATTAGACATGAGGATGCCAAGGGAAATCCCTCAGTTGTAGTAGAGGGGAGCACCGACTGCCAGGGGAGCAGGGGTCAGGTAAGTAAATCTGCTTTAAAGAATCCCCGTAGACAAGAACAAATAGTCAACTCTTGCAGTGTGGGCGTAGCCCTACTGCAGGGGGTGGGTTTTTTGGTATCTTTTTTTATTTTTGAGATAGGCTTTAAATGACTGTGTCATTACCTAATCAGCTAAAGTATATACAGCAGGATACCTTTAGCTCATTCTGTTCAACCTATAAATTTAGTTTAGATAAGCTATGTAAATACATTCAGTGCCCTTTATCAAAGTATCTCAAAGTAGAACTGTCTGTATTGCCTATAGCAGCCATTCAGAGGCTTCATTGCATTTTTTAACCTGACAGAGGGCATTTGGTTGATAGAAGTATGACAGATTTCCTTTCAGACAATTTATACTTATGTTTAAATATTGTATCGCAATTGCATGAAATGCTGAACTAAGCAAAAGTGCTGTGTGTTTCCTTCTAATCAGACCCCCACCTGTCATTTTACATCTGTTGTTTTTTTTATCAGCAATCATTTAATTGCTTGCCTTGGGCAACACAAACAGTTCTTCCTTCAAACTCCATAATGAACAATGTCCTTTATATTTTCCTGAGAATGATATAGTGCTTGTTTCTTTATACACATGAGATGTGATTACATGCTGATGAAAATGGGATCAGTAGCTGCAATGAGAATTGAATGGGTGGCTTGGTAGATGTTCACATTCAGGAAATTTACTATGAGTTTGACAACTTTTTATTGAAAATATTATACTGAAAATATAGGAATTTGAAAAGACTCTACCTAGAATCACTTGTTTCTGCCAACCTATTGTTCATGATGGCTAAAGCTCCAACCCCTCCTGAGAAGCCATTTTGTCGTGTATTGATGCACACAGTTCTAGGGTAGCCATTGGCTGTTTCAGATAACTGCTTCTGCAGTATGGCAAGAGAAACCTTATTGGACGCCGTAAGGTCCCTCATTGAGATCATCTCCCCTGACAGCCTCCTGCCTTCCGTATCACTGTCATAGTTGCCGTCGGTCTCCATTGACAATTGGTTCCTGCGGAAGCGAGCTCCAGGAGTGATGGCATTGCGGCGCCCAAGTCGGGTATTGGATTTATGGCACTTATTACAGCATCGGCACCTACATTTTTTTAGAATCCAGTTTAAAACTTGCTTGATTACAATCGATATGACGTTAAAAAGTGAGTAAATGCAACAAACTCCCAAAAGTATACACATGAAATTTCCAAACCTGTATAATCCCTGATATTTGTACACTGCATTTTGGCTGCTTACTAGATCTCCAAATCCAATGGTGCTAAAAGTGACAAAACAGTAATACAAAGAGTCTATGTAGTTCCAGCCCTCTACTGGGGTGTACATGGCTGATGCACAGCAAGAGAGGGTGATAGCAAAAATTCCCAGAATTAGCATGACGTGGTATACAGATGGCTTCCAGCCAACTAGGCTGTCCACTTCAGATATAGATGACCCTCGACGGACAGTTGGAGGTAGAAGCCCGTTTCGTCGTAACTGCCTTTCATGGCAAGCTTTCATCACGAAAGCCAAAAGAGAGATCATCCTTTCCAAGAAGAGGTTAAAGAACAATATTGTTGCAGCACATCCAAAAAGGCCGTAGAAGATGAGGAACACTTTTCCAGTGACAGTGGCTGGTGTGGTCATTCCGAAACCTGCAAAGAAGATTGGAAATACTTACTGGAAATCAATAAAAAGAGCATTTTAAAATGCGTATAAATTATGGAATTTTTAAGTCCTCATCTATCAAATTGTACCATTGATCTCAACAGCATCCATTTAGCAGTTCTTTGATTTTATATTATAAAGGGTGATCAATAGCTGCGTAGGAACAAATGTAGGTTGAAGTTTTACTAATTAAATCTTACAGCTAATTATTTCAATATAATCAGTGTTATTATTTAGTTTAAACTCTCTCTGCAGACTACCTTCCCTCCGCAGACTACCTTCCCTTCAATGCATATATCTCTATTTGACCGTATGCCACTAAAAATAGATTCACCAAATTTAAAGATTGAGTTATTCCCATATTTTTTCTTAAAATCTTTCTGCAAGGAGTGTCTCTCTCACTCTCATTCTCTCTAGAGAACCTTGTTTGAGATTTAAGCAGTTGTTCAGGGAACTATAGCAATTCATAAAATGTTGGATTACCAGTAAATAAAGCATAACTTCAGACTCAGGATCCTCCTATTAGTTTGCCACCCTTCCCCTCTTCATTGGGGCACCCTTATTTTTTAAAAATAAATTTTTGTACATACCTTTATTCCAGGTGTCATGTGACATCACAGGTCCCCTTCATGCTCTTCTTCATCAAGCAGCGGACGTAACTCGAATTCTGCAGAGAGTGGCACCACATAAGGATGTGGAGCAACTCTTTGCAGCATGAGCTCAGAGGAATTGAGATGAATAATGCTAGATATTGCCTAACCTGCAAGTCATTATGGTGCCACTGTCTACAACATCCTGTGAGTCCGGGGATAGGCCCTAAGGCCCTGGGCTTACAGGAAATGAGTTGAATCCCACTGGATATCATCCAGCGTGGAATTATTTGCATTGTACTTCCCTCTGCAGCATTTTCCTCCAAGTCCAGAAAGCGGGCAGCCCCTTGATATCCTGGGCTCATAGAAATTAGGTCGCATTACATTGAATATCATCCCACTGGGAAGAAGAGCTGAGCTGAGCTGAATTGGTGAGTGGGTGGGTCTGCAAGGAACATCACCAGATTTAAGGTGCCCATACACTATACGATTATCGTACGAGAATCGCTGGAAATCCCGCGATCGTACGATAATCGTACAGTGTATGGAAGGCGTGCGACCGTTTCTACTGTGCGGTCGCACGTCTTCTGTCGAACAAGCAGGCTTGAAAACCCGCTGAGAAACTGCTAAACGGGCCGGTGTGCGCACGCTGCCTGTTTGCAGTCATCGGAAGCCCGCCCCTCACTGCGGTCATCGGAAGCTGCCCCCTCAGCAGGGCGGGCTTTCGATAATCGCAAGTACGATCTGCCCGTCCAAGATGGGCAGATCGTACGAGCTTTTTAATAAGCTTATGACCATGGCAAGACAAAAGTCTTGTGATGGTCGTAAGGTATATGGGCACCTTTAGGGTGAGTGTTGCAGCTGGACTGTTGCAGCTGGACTGCTGGGGACTGACATTTTATATTTTTTGCCCAAACTAAACTTTTAATAGTAATGTAGATGCCGGCAGGTGAAATCACAGCATGCAGCAGGGACCTATGCATCCCAGATATGTCAGATGGTGACATTTTTTTTAATGTTGGTTTTGGTCTAAAGATTTTATTTCGGGGCATCTATAGTTTTGTTACTATTTTTGTAACTGGCAATTCTATTCCTACGCACAATAACCATAACTCACAGCCTGCCTTCTGAACTATAACTCAACATGTGAACAATGTAACTTTATCATTGCTTGCTGGCAGCAATGCATGATGGGATATGTAGTTGGAGATTGCATCACATCAATCAGCAGGAAAAGAGATGCAAAGCATTCTTGGAATCCAGGAAGTTGGTGAAAGTGATGGGCAGATGGAAGGCAGCACTCACAACATAAAAAAGATTTTTTTTCAAGTAAGCTTTGATTGCATTATGAAAAACAACTCTAGTATGCATTCCTATTACAATGCTGAGGTTATAACAGGAATGTGTTGATATTGTATGGTCCCAAGCAACCTAATAAAGCATTTGCAGTATTCTGTTTGCTCAATGACAGCCTTTTACTGCCTCAAGAGTACTTCAAGAACAATTATCTCCCATGCAGTCACCTTCAGGATCAAATGCTAATTATAAACTGTAAATTACCACATTGGTGATGTTTTGTTATTTCACCAAACTGTTTTTTTGTGTCACAAAAGACTTTGCTGAAAGTTACTTGAGATTTCTCTCTCTGACACATAAAAACAGCATATTGGGATTATGACAGGCAAATTAGTGTTATCGAGTTTAGAAATGACATAGACCAAAATGATTCATAATTTAATCAGAACAAAAGTTCATAGAAACCCTTCAATGATGTTAAATATCGTCCCCGCAGCCTTTATTTAAGGTCTCATGTGATTTTTCAACTGACACTTGGCACAATCTGAAATGGCAGTAATTCATGAAGTGTTGTTCTTTTCCGAATAGAGCATTGTCTTCATACTCTTCCCTCTGTCTTTGCGTCCTTTCGTCCTTTGCCTTCCTTCATTCATCTCCTGTTTGCCTGATGCTCCTCTCTCCTCTCTTTTTTTTTTACTCTCCATATCTGGGCCTCATTCATTAAAATCGTAGAAAATAAATTAAGAGCCTAAGTGAAATCTCATTTTATGTAAGACTAAACAAGAATGCTGATTGGTTATTATGCTCTCATTTTCTTTTCTCTAGTACTAATGTGTCGGCTTCTCTCTTCTTTTCTTAATCCTCCCTACCTTGGTCCATTCATTCTTAGTCTTATAACTTTCTTCTTATTTCTCTCCCTTTAGGGGTTATGTAGATGGCATTTTACGTGACTTTCTAAGCTCTATATGCTTTGTGCTAAGCTCAGCATTGCTGCTGCTTATAGAAATCTTTTAGCTCTTTAAACCCTCTCTTTCCATATTTTTACTCCGCCTTTCTTGTCTCTCCTTACTTTCTCCTCATTCTGTGGTAATAATTTTCCTCTTCTTATTATTTCCTAATTCTCCATTCCCTGCTTGTATGCTCTTTGTTTTTTTTATGTTCTTCCCTACCCTCACCCACCTGGAGGCCCACTGATAGAGATCTACATTTGTATGTCTAGCCTTACTCCTTCTCCTCTGTCCTTCCTCCTTCTTTCCATTCTCTCTCCTGTCTTTCTTCTCCCTCCCCTCTCACTTTATCTAATTTAAATGCAAATAGACTTCACTGGTGTCAAACCTTTTATTTATTTTTTCTCTATAAGGATGGCCATATTATGGCAGATTGACACATTTCCAGTAGAAATGGATGACAAAAACCTGACAGTGTATTTAAAAAAAAAAAAAAAGATCAAGGAAATGGCAGATACTGTCATTAAATGTTGTGGTTGACCTGAAAATCTAAACTAGCATTCTTCTTGTTGTTATATGCCTATAGAACTAAGTAATCCACAGGGTTCAGTGTGTATAGGAAGATAACCTAAAAACATCCATCAATAAATTTACCAGCCATGACTGGTCAGAAGCACTTGGAGGTGAATATATCAAAACTGGAGCAGACAAAATCTGGAGCAGTTGCCTAGGGCAACCAATAAGCTTCTCTCTTCAGTGTGTTGATTTAAGATTTGAAAATGTAAGAGAGAAGCTGATTGGTTGCCATGCACAGCTGCTCCCGATTTTGTCTGCCACAGTTTTGATAAATTCCCTTCTTGTACTTTTTCATTTCAGGCCAGGTAATACACTGTCCCTTTCTAATAGTGATAAGTATTTCAGTTTGTCTGAATCAATTTTTTATTGTGGTCGGAGAACTTGATGCCCACCAGATAGCTGCTGGGGAAAGGGTGGCTCCTTTCCCTTGCAGGATGCTTTGGAGTCACCCCTGTGTGTGCTAGTAAATTGGCACACAGCACTACAGCTAGTGTGCAGACCTGAAAACTCAGAGTGTGCAGAGGTCTCTCTGTGATTCATCCCCTCAGAATCTACCAAAAGTTGTAATATCACTTGTGGGCTTGCTGACTCTTTAAGAATACAATGTAAAATTAAGTTTAAAAAAAAGTAAAAATGAATGCAAAATTAAAGAAAAACTCCATGCACATATTTAAAAGCACCCTTTAGTTGCATTCCTCTTGCCTTGAAATATCATAAATCAGTTTTCAATTCACCTTGTGTAAATGCCTGAAATGTGTCTTTACAGTAAGCAGACTTCCCAAATAAAAGCTGAACCAGGTCTGCAGTGCAAGTTGTTGGGTGGAAGTTAAAAGTGCTTAGATGAGTTACCAGGGCGATGTTCATTTAAGAGACTCTATCACTTAAAAAAAAAGACAAAAGAGCTGCTAGCACTTATAAAGTGCAGGAACCTACTACATACCCACAGCAGCGCTCTTTCACATCTGCTATGGCTGGATGCTGGTGGTTCTGAATGGGACAAAGTTCCCCTTCTTTTTCCTACTGGACAAGGAGGCAGCCCACCATAAAGATGGGGAAATAGGGCAGCTGGAGAGAGTTGAATCACTACTCGGATATATTGGGTATTTGCCCATTCAGAGTGGCCGCCATTTGTCCTTGGAAGATGTTAGGGAGAGTAACAAACCTGGACCATTCACACAGTTTCTGGAAAAAAAACATTCATGTGGTTTTATTTTTATTTTTGAAACCACATGACACAATGATCACAAGACACAGACATACAGGCAGCTAGATTTACCAGCAAAACTCGATTTATCCTGCAATAGTTGAGCTTGGAACACTATATCCCTACACCTTGATTCACCTATTGGTCAACGAGGTCACATTTTATAATACAGGGGTAGCAGGAAGGCTTTGAAGGTGAAAGGTGGAAGGAGTTGAGTCGAGTTTAGCTTTTTCAGTCATGTCAAGATTTACACGTAACTTAAACTGCCCATACCTCTGGTTCTGCTGATTGACTTCATGTGGTTTTCACTAACAATAACTCCCATTTCTTCTTACCATATGCTCAGTTTGCAATGCCTCGTTTTCTTGGGTTGT